ATCGTTCAACCTGATATGGTACAGGAATAGCGAATTCGACCTTTGGCCAGAAGACTGATTTTGATTACAGCTACGGGGAGACTTCACCAATATTGGCAGCAGTCATAGTCAACGATCTCATCATTGGATTCGACCTTCTTCAAGAAGATAGAATCGACTTAAATTTGACACTTATGCAATGCGCATTAGTAGAGATAGTAATGTCAAATCCTAAGATGAAGTCTTTTTCTTACGAAGTGATCGTAGAGGAAGATCGAGTACTATCTAGTCACTTCGAAAGCGTTGTGAAAGTCAGAATATATGACGACATTGGAGGATTGGTACGGTTAGTCGAACCAGACAATTAAGACATGACCTAGAAAGCATTACGGATGTATGGTCGTAAGAAGTGGACCATAATCGATATTTGTTAAAATAGCCAACTCTTTAAGCAAAGGATCTTCAGAGGCACAGAGTTGGGTGTATTTGAACCGGCAGCTGAAATCCGCTACTGTGACTGGAAAGGAGAAATCGAGACGAAACCGACTTCACTTCCTGCAATTTTGTCAGAACAGTAAAACGGTCAAGTAACCATTTTAACAACCACCCAGAAGGGTTTCTTGTGCAAAGCAAGAGGAAGTCAATAATCTGATAAAAGACATGCATAAGCAAGGGGTAATAGAATCGTCTCAAAGTACTTGGGCTTCCCCTATAGTGCTGGTACGCAAGAAGAATGGTTTCACGAGATTTTGTGTGGACTACAGGAAGCTGAATGATAGCTACCCATTACGCCTAATCGACAACACATTTCTCAGTCTAGCTGAAGCTAATTAGTTCTCTACTCTCGATTTAAAAATTGGATACTGAAAATGGTCTATGGCAGTTCAATGTGATGCCTTTTGGATCGTGCAATGTACTGGTTGCATTCAAAAGACTCATGGACGTTGTATCACAAGGAATAAACTAGAAAATCTGCTTGGTTTACCTAGACGACATCACCATACTAGGAAGAACTTTCGACAAAACGTGGCTAATGTCTTCAAGAAACTGTCGGTCATAAGATAAAAGCCCAAGTAGTGCATCCTGTTTAGAAGAGAAGTGAAATATCTAGGCTGCCATAACTTGTCGAGAGTTACTGACTGTGGTTAAAACCTTCGAGATTTTTAGGTTTAGCTTTCTCTTAGGAACGGATCACGCCTCGCTGAAGTGGCTACTGCAATTCAGGAACCTAGAAGGACAGATTGCACGATAGTTACAACGATTTCAAGAACATGAGTTTGATATCGAGCATCGTCCAGACAAACAAAACGATAACGTAGATGCACCATCCCGGAAACCTCGAGTGGAAAACTGCAAACATTGTTCATCTGCGGACAAGAACGAAGAGCTGGCTCTATCTGTTGTAATCTAACCATCGTTCAGCCTGAGGGATCCACTAATCAATGACCAGAGGAAGGACGAAGACATTGCCCAATAAGGAAAGTGGAGAAACTGGAAACTCAAGACCATCGTGGGCAGATATCAGCTACTTAACTCAAACAACGAACAGTTAACTTCCCTTAACTTAGACCACGGCGTTTTGAAATGAATGTGGGAAAGTGCAGATGGAACCAGAAACAAGCTCCAAGCGCTACTACTGAAGAAAAGAATTTCAGAAGTCTTAGAAGCAGTTCTTGACGAAAGACATTTCGGAGTTACGAAGACTCTAGGGAAGGTATGCGAGCGATTTTATTGGCCACGAAGTAGAAGCGATATGGCGAAATACCTGACATGCACCGCCAGTAAGGAACCGAAGACAAGGAGTCGTGGATGTAACGGTACAATTTGGGAGTGCTATTTGAGAGAATTGCATATGACGTGACAGAACCATTTCCTATGACAGACTTCGGTAATCAATAAATCTTGATAGTCATGGATTACTTCAGCAAGCATATGCTATACTAAACCAGGGTGCACACTGTTACTGGGAAGCTTGTCAATGACTGGATCAGCTGATATTGAGTACCACTGGAATGGCATTCCGACCAAGACAGAAACATCGAATCGGTTTTGTTCAAGAATATCTCTGAACTACTGGGCATTACTAAAACGAGGACAAGCTCTTACATCCAGACTCTGATGGAATGGTTGAACGATTTAACGCTACTCTGAATACCAATTTAAGAAGCATCGTCAACGAACATCGAACTGACTGGGTCTAACACATACCACTATTCCTTCTGGTAAACAGATCCGTCATCCATGAGATAACTGGAAGAACAACCAGTCAGCATTTTATTCGGGAAAGAACTCAGGTTGCCGGCGGACATGATGCTTGGTCGTCTTGAAGACTCTCCAGTTCCTTCAGATGTGGGCGTACTACGATATGATAATGCTGTGTGTACGAAGCTGCGATTTGAAAGTGACCGCATAAAGACAAGATACGATCGGTGAGTCAATTCTGCTGGGTTTAATGAAGGCGACAAATTATGGCTATATAATCCCTCAAGGCGAAAGGGACGTTGCACGAAATTACAACAGGCTTGGAATTGTCGATACACTTTTTTAACATTAATTTTTTCTTTTGGAAAATCTTCGTCTTGAAAAGCATTTCAAAGTTATAATAGAGCGGATCACCCAGATTTAAAAATTTAATAGTTATAGTGTTTTACATATTTTAAAGGTGGCTAATAAAATCGTTACAAACTTGGTAGAAGTTAATATTTTTTCAAAAATTGAAGGCATTTTGTTTCCTTGTTTAGATTATATTGAGTATGTTATAAAGGTTTACGTGCTTGATTGTCAGTCCTTTTGCATTTTTGATGAGCGAAACGATATCGTTTTTTGTAGTTGATGCATCGTCAGCTTTCGCTCGTCGCACCTGTACATGACCCTTGGAAGCTTGTTTTGTCGCTTCAAATTCTAAGGCATGGGGCAATGCTTTACTTGGAGTCTTGTGGTATGCTAGTCTAAGGACTTGCTGTAGCTTACCATCCCTGACTCCACTGATGAATGTTTGTACAGGTAGTTGGTTTATGGAGTCCGAAGGGGCACAGGGGTATGCTAACTTTACGAGGCGTTCCACGTAGGACTGGTGAATCTAGTTATATCTTTAGTTACGGCTTTTCAGTTGCGTCTGATGTACCTGCTGTAGATGCTTATCCGCGGTGTCTCATACTCTCGGGCATTCCTTAGAGTATATCCAGTGCCTTCCATAGTAAACAAATGATAGTGCTGTTGTCTTTTCCAAATTGGTTTGTGTTTGTTTCTGTCGTTGCTCCGAACTGCTTCAGGTATACGGACCATGGGATCTTCGCATAGAAACTCGTAGATGTAATTTTTGATGGTCTTGCACCTGACTCGTCAGTTCTCGCAGTAATAAGTAGTCGTAGCTTTTCGTTTTCTCCTTTTGTTTCTTCCATTCGCGTTTTCAATTTTATCTCTAGCGTAATTTCATTTTCTTTTAGCTTCCTTTTCATTATATTTCCTCTTTCTTCTGTTTTTTTCCATATGATGTCATTCTGACTTATTCTAGAAAGATCTAGAATATGACGACTAGAATGTCTAGTTTTTTGTTACTGTGTATGTTGGGTTGTCTACACGTGACAATATTTAATCTAAACTCTAATTTAGACGTATTCGAGGTAGAACTAAACAAATGCAATGTGGGCGGGTTTAAATGACGATATTTGGGTAGATAAATGGTTGCTTATATATACACTTTAATGACATATTCTTATCATTAAACTTTTAATGTTTAAAGTATAATTTATAAAATTGTAAATGTCGCTAAAATTAAAATGTAGGTGGTGTGCTCCATCTATAACAGTACTCACCGTCCAAATTTGAATGGACTCACTTGCTGTATAACTATTGTTATTCCTATGAATGATCGTATATGGACTATTGGGATCCGTCAAATGGGCATACACCATCTGGTGGCAAAATTTATAACTCGAATGAGGGAAAAATTTACAAAGGAACTGTGAACGCAAATTGTAAAATTGTTTATTAAAATAATAAAACACGTTAAAAAAGTAAAAATTTTTTTGATAATAAATAAAAAGTTAATATGTTCAGTGAAAAGGTGCAATATCACTTCAGACATAGATCTTCACTCTTCACCTACATTAGCTACTTTCCAATAAAAACTAACCGTTTTATATATGTAAAAAATATATTCGGAAAATTAGAGAAAAAAGTAAACTAATAGAAGCTTGGATGAAAGCAGTAGATATCAAAGTGAATTCCGGAATAAAAATTTGTACACGTCATTTTAATGCACATGATTATATTTCAGCAAGTATTTACCATCAGCCATAACCTTAATATTTAAAACTAGAATCATACTAAAATTATAAAGTGAGAAATTATTTATTCCTGTGTAATTGATTTAACACAATTCTAATGATACGATATAAGTATTTTGAGGTTAAGAACCTACCTGCTGCAATACAACAAAGTTGCAATAATGTGTTTGCAACGTTCTCTTAAATCGGCTTTGCACGTGCAAGTCATTGATATAATATTGCTTAAATCACCCAGAATCACCTCACCAATTATCTAACGTGAATCACTTTTTAAATCCAAAGTTTGTAAAAAGTAGGCAGTAAACCTGACGGAATTTGAAGGCTAGCTTCCGGATTTGTTATTTCCGAATTTTATAATGTGATTGGCATTAAAAACATGCTCACCTTCAACGAAATTTCCTTTCCGAGGCTTTGTGTCAGCCCAATCACATATTGTGTCAATACTTATCATTTTATTGTAATTTAAAAACTTGGAAATTGCACGGTACACTATAGGAACTACGATAAATTTTCCCTAATCGGCGCCATGTTTTTAGGCTCCTCCCATTTGACGGATCCCAATATAATATAGCTCTTTTTCGCTATTATATATCTACACTATTAAGCCATTATATACAATACCTACCTTGTTTAGACAATTTAGACAAAAACAATTTTCAAAATAATAATAGTAAACCGGAAGGAACAAGATTCAATTGTTACAAAGCGATAAGCAAGTTGTAATCGTTGCAGATTGTATGGATGTTGGTGCATTCGAGTGGTTTTCACAATTAAAATTTTATTGGGATCGTGAAATAGATGACTGTGTTATTAAGCAAACAAATACCTCATTTAGATATGGTTACGAATATAATGGTAATTCTGGAAGGCTTGTTATTACACCTCTTACCGATAGGTAGCAAAAATGTGTGTATTTTAATTAGTAAGTTGGTAATGTTTAACGGTACATTTTAGGTGTTACATAACACTGACAACTGCTTTACACTTATACAGAGGAGGAAGTCCTCAAGGTCCTGCTGGAACAGGAAAAACAGAAACTGTAAAAGATTTGGGAAAAGCGATGGGAATGTGGGTAATTGTGAATAATTGTTCTGAAGGGTTGGACTACAAAAGTATGGGAAAATGCTTCTCTGGACTAGCTCAGACAGGTGCATGGGGATGCTTTGATGAATTCAATAGAATAAATATTGAAGTATTATCTGTGGTGGCTCAACAAATACTTTGTATATTATTGGCAATTTCACAGAGACTGAAAACGTTTGTTTTTGAAGGTAAGTACCTACTGAATACTGTAACCACATTTTAATGAGTCATAAGGGCAGGAAATATTTAAAATATTTATAATTTGTTTCTTACGGCAACTTCTGTTAGAATAGTCTCTGTACGATGAATTTTTAAAATGGTGAAAATGATCAAAATTAACGGTTGAAACATCGTAATATTGTAAACAAAAAGTCAAAAAGTGCAATTAGTTGGTATTGGTAAAATTAAAATTCATTTATTGAATAATTAAAAATTATCCGGACAAAATTCAAGTAGATCATCAAGCAATAATTAAGCATTTTATGTAGGTACGAAACCCATTTACCCCATAACATAAAGTAAAAGCAAAGACCGTCATATCATTGCTATAAAAGTGCAAAATTAAGTGAGCCATTTGAAACGTCTTTCTTTTCAAAGTATCAGAATTGAGATAATATTTATACATTATACGCTTGGCGCCTCTACACACTATAAGCAAATCCCCTTTAATACACATTGGGAAGTATAAAAAAGGTCTTATGGTGAAAAATGCAATAACAATATTTTCTTTTTTGTTCTACTAAACGTATGTTACAATTAAAACAATGAAATAAAAATTTTCAACTATCCAGGTATTGAAATAAACCTTCAACCGACTTGTGGGATCTTTATAACAATGAATCCGGGATATGCAGGAAGAACAGAACTACCTGACAATTTGAAATCTATGTTTAGACCAATCGCCATGTGTGTTCCAGACAGCATGATTATAGCGGAAAATACTCTATTCAGTGATGGATTTCAAACTACTAAACTACTTGCAAAGAAGGTAATCTTAAATGGATAATTCGTTTTAGTAATTTCAGATAAGTGATAATGCGTTTAGCAGGTGTACCTTTTTTTTTAAAATTCAGCATAGTGATGCAAATTGCATTATTTTATAATTTGAAATTGCTGCTTGATATGTTTAAATTTTTTTGCAGAATTAACCTACTGCATGAATTTGAAGCAGTAGACAGTATATATTCATCTAGCGACATTTACTGTAAAGAATAGTATTTCAATTATTTACTTTTAATATAAGAAAAATTAATATATTATAAAATATACAGAGGGAACTTGAAATGTAGTTTTTAATCCTTTTTATATATTAAAACGCAGATAAACTTTGACTACTACATATCTAGTTGATTCAAACTCACCTATTCGAAATTAATTTTACGATTAGAAATATACACATACACAGGTCATACTTGTGGCGTAATTTATTCAAAAATCAAAATACGTATATCAAAAGTAACTTATAACCATATCACGTTGACGATGATGAATTCAATGATAGACAAAAGGAGATATAAGCCCAAAAGACTCCTTATGTTTCTTTTCCTTTTTTTTTTTAATATGATTGACCCTCGGACGCCTTTAGTTGTAATAATCATCACCTACAATTTCAACAATTTCAGTAGCGTGGGTGATTATTGTTCAATTATTCGATCAACTGTAATTATAATGATAGAGTGAAGGTGAATGTCCAACCAGTCTTCGAACAGAGGACCCTATCACGTTAACGATTATTAAATGATAGACAAAAGGAGATAAAAGCCTAAAAGACTTCTTATGTTTTTTTTCCTTTTTTTAATATGATTGACCCCCGGACGCCTTTAGTCGTAATAATCATCACCTACCATTTCAATTATTTCCGTACCGTGGGTAATTATTGTTCAATTATTCCATCAACTGAAATTATAATGATAGATAGGACGAAGTGGAGGTGTGTGTCCAACCAGTCTTCTAATTGAGAACCTTATCACGTTGCCGATGATGAATTAAATTATAGGTAAAAGGAGATATAAGCCCAAAAGACTCCTTATGTTTCTTTCCCTTTTTTTTTAGTATGACCCCCGGACGCCTTTAGTTGTAATAATCATCACCTACAGTTTCAGTAGCGTGGGTGATTATTGTTTACTTATTCGATACACTGTAATTATAATGATAGATAGGAAGAAGTGAACGTGCCTGTCCAACCAGTCTTCGAACTGAGGACCCTATCACGTTGACGATTATTAAATGATAGACAAAAGGAGATATAAGCCCAAAAGACTCCTTTTGTTTGTTTAGTGTGGTCAAAAATTAAATAATATTATGATAGAGTTCACTATATCCTAATAATATGGAAAAACATTAATTAAGTAGTTCATGTTTATATTAATAAGCAGTAATGGACAGCTGTAACTAAGTATTGTAGGAATAGTTTAAAATGTCTTTTGTATTGACCTGAATAATTCTATTTCCTACCTAATTGCTGCTTTTTGAAGAAAATGATACTGATAGCATCATTTTTCTTCTTTTAGAATAACTGTTCTTTGATAAAAAGTTTTATAAGTAATTGTTTTATAATACACGTCATTTTA